TTTTTTTTTAAAACCATTTTGAAAAAAAAAAAAAAAAAAAAAAAAAAAAAAAAAAAAAAAAAAAAAAAAAAAAAAAAAAAAAAAAAAAAAACTCCAGTAAATAATAGATCCTGTACTAAGTAAGTTTTTTAATCTTTTCTGTTCACAAGACATTCAAAGTTTCTTCTACTATTTATCCATTAAAATAAGAACTAAATCTTACCTAAAGATGTGCTCTCTTGGCCATAGTTTGATGTTCTTTTCTGGGAAGCTATGAGGTCTCCATCATCCAAGATATCTGGAAATATATATAAATTATATATAAAATATTAATATATATAATAAAGCATACTTCAGGACAAAAAACAGCCACCCAGTGGTCAGTGAGTAAGAACACCTTCCCACATCAGTCTGATGAAGGCCTCCGACAAAATCTGCCTTAAGCTTACAGTGAGGAAAATCTTTCCAGCTTGTATCAAACAATTGATTTATCAAAAAAAAAAAAAAAAACATTTTTTCCCGATGATTTCTCAAATTTACCTGTTGTTTCTGTACTTTCAGAATAAGAGGTGGCAGCAGCAGTGCCAGATCTTGCCCTGGACCTCTTGGCTTTTGTATGAGCTAAAATAATGGAGTAGAAATTAAACCAGATTTATGTTGTAGCATTTAATTTTTAGAAATGGTTTTAAGAAAGTTTTGGAATGATAATTATAATAGCCTTCTATAGAGATAAAACTTACTAACATAAAGGCTCTGTAATAGATCACAGAAAAAAAAAATCCAGTCAGGCAGAAAAAATAATGTAGCAACTATTTTTATATGAATAAATTAATTGCGAATCAAACTTATTTTTAAAATGAATTACATTTAAAATGTCTTTGATTATATTTTCTGTGCTGAGTATTCTGTTTAGTTGAAAATCAAAATTAAATATATCAATCAATTTGATAAAAACAAATAAATAAATTTATTTAAAATACATAAATAAACCCTGTCAAGCCAGATATTCATTGAAATTACAGCTCTGGCTTATCTTCCAAATAATTCACTTACTGTCCATAAGTCTCCAGTTCAGTAAGGGATCATAAACAAAAGCCTCCAGTACAGCCATTAAACTATCTTTATTCTCCCTGAGGACGTCCATCACCCTCTCACAAGTCATCTTGTAGTTGCCATCGATACCAGTGACCTAGAATAGATGGGCTGTTTGAGAAACCCACGTGTACATATGCACACTTTCTCTCTCTTTCACACATACACACACAGTTGCCACAGATAACAGTGACTTAGAAAAAAGTCTGTGAAAATAGCACTCATGAACCGATTCATGCATGCACACACACATGCAAGTACAAACTCTCTCTCTCTCTCTCTCTCTCCCTCCCTCCCTCTCTCTCTCTCTCTCTCTCAAACACACACACACACACACACACACACACACACACACACACACACACAGTTGCCATTGATAACAGTGACTCAGCAGAGACAAGCTGTCACAGCAGCACATAAACTCGCTTATATTTAATATCTATCATATCGTTATCATATCGTTATATCATATATTTTAAAGAAGAACCATAGTGTTCTTCACCAATTTTGAAATAAAAATTTCAATAAACAATGGCCCTGCAAACACACCTCCATAGCATTAATGAGCATTCTCGTCAGGCGGAATGGGATCTTCTCTGGAAACTTTTCTCTGGTCATGGCCACTTCAAAACAGTCGCCAAAGTCAATATGGATGATTTTCCCACTCATTCTGTCTAACATCAAGTTTGAAGGGTGTCTGAAATAAAAAAGGATTTCAAAGGGTAATTTTCTTATTCCAAACTAATTTGTAAGATGCTGCTTATGGACCATATTTTTGATGTCATTTCAAAATCTAATTTATTGTAATAAAGAGTAATGAATTGTATGAAATAAGGTTTTTTCTAGTCCTGTGGTAAAAGATGAAGGGTTAAAATGTTATGACTCCCAGGCAACAATTCACTTACAGTTTATTTTTTAAATTTACTAAGTTAAGAGGTCAAAACTTGAATGGAAACAGGCCCTGGATTTCTCATCATGATGACAAGCCATTTTTACAGTCTGCTGTGATGGTATATACAAAGTACTCAATTAAAACATTATAACTTGAGTGGCAACACGTCCTAAAATTCTCTACATGACTAGAAATCATTATAATACTAAGTTAAGACATTTTAATCCGAGTGTGACCACGCCTAGGACTGACCTGTCTCCTAGTCCCAGCACATAGCCCACCATGGACATCACAGCCAGAGAGCGAGTGTAGTTGGTTCTCCTGTCAAACCACACCTGAAGTATACAGGAAAACATACTGCTGTGATGATTTAATACCTAGCAATTTTATATCTAGTTATTTAACTAGAGGATCAGAGAGGCGATACCGCCTCCGGATATTGTACCACCAGCTGGAGTAAGCGCATTCGTATGGACCCCCAACCCAAAAAAAGGGACTCCACCACCAGTCTTGTGCTTGACAAGCTCTATAAAATGCAATCAACAAGAATTCTCAAAATATGCAAAAAAAAAAAAATAATAAATAAATATGGTACAATCAAAGTTCAGTTCATCGTAAAAAGTAGGTCAAGGGTCACAGTAAATTGCCTCTAATGACTTTCTATTCCAGGTCAATAGTAACTATGGACCTATCTCTGCCAGTTTTGGAGAGAAAAGGGAACAAAATTTGCAAAGTTCAATTCATGGTTAAAAGTAGGTCAAAGGTCAATTTCAAGGTCACATTTAGATTGCCAGTATATGACTTTCTACTCAAGTTCAATAGTAACCATGGACCTATCTCTGCCAGTTTTGGAGATAAAAGGGAACAAAATTTGCAAAGTTCAATTCATGGTTAAAAGTAGGTCAAAGGTCAATTTAAGGGTCACAGTAAATTGCCTCTAATGACTTTCTATTCAAATTCAATAGTAACTATGGGTGTATCTCTGCCAGTTTTGAAAATAAAAGCATAAAAAAA